AGACAAGAATCTGAAAATGTAATTAGGTCATTTTGACCAAATTTGACTTAATCCTCATTTCGATATGATGGGTCACAAATGTCCTCTGGCTTTGATATGACACTGCAGATCTATATGAATGAATCTTTGCCTGTACTGATTTTATTTCACTACCTGACTTTATCATACCAGACTAACATGTTCACCTCAGTGCCATGTCACCACTTCTATGACATAATACGGCAAATATATTAAAAATTCACATTTTTGTGCTTTAACTTTTTTATAATGGTTATGTATGTGGTTGGGAAGACTTGACAAATGAACGATCAATTCAAGTTTGTTTTAATATTTACTGGTCCTGAATAACCCCTGCTCCATTTAAAAAAATGTTTTTTCTGTGTTTTTGTCCTGTCCAGGAGGCTGGTTCTTGGGGTGAGGCCAAAGGACCAGACTCAATGAGTTTCCAGCGAAATGTCAGAGAAGTCAGGGCAGAGCACCAAGGCAAAGGATGGCAAAAAGTATGCAACCCTTAGCCTTTTCAACACTTACAAAGGCAAATCTCTGGAAACCCAGAAAACTGCTGGTAAGAGTTATGTTTTGTTTACTGTCCGAAAACTATCAAACAGGTTAAAATTGTGTTTACTTTTTGTACCCTCTGTGAGACTTTGAAAAATGTATGTTTGTCTACAATGAGGAAAACTACCAATGAGATAACAGTTCCTCATCAAAGTACTCTGCAGTTCTTGGAAGTATTTMATTTCCTTGACCCTGAAAAGTGTTCATGTTCAACGTAACTCAACTTATTAGCTTGACAAAACCTAAAGTCGTTATCTTTTTTGATAATTAAGTCTTTTCTCTTTATAATCACATCTCTTTATTTAGTGAATATAATCTAAAAATCATTATGGGAAAAACACCCTTACTACAATCAAGATGTACGTAGCTGTGCAGTATCGCTGCAGGAAAATACATCCCATTTGGCTTTACAGGCATCTGCAGGTCTGTTTTTGACCAAATTTACCTCAGCTTTAGTGTTGCTGTTACTCTGTATGCTACATAAACAGAAGATCAAAGACGCAAATGACGGACATCATTTTCAAAAAACAACAGCACACAAGTGTCCTATGGCGTGTATACAAGCATGGACCATAACTTATCCTCACTTTGGTAAATATCATCTACCTTAAATCTGTCATTTAAATATGAGAAGTCTTGTACCTAAACTGGATAAATTCAAAGTAATACTTGCTCAGACACAAGCACATGTTATGGCTATATCAGAAGGCTCGGGCGGCGGCGGCTTCCGCAGCACAGCGTGCGCGGAAAACGCTCTGCGCCCCTTCCGCCTTCCTTGCGCGCCGCCCAAAACGTACGTGACGCGACGCACGACCTCTAGAGGCGCATCCTCAAAGACTGCATGTAAATCGGCCGCTCCTGTCGCTCAAAACGCATTTGGTGTGAACGTACCATAAGAGTTTCTTATTTTGTGGGAGGAGTTTGCCCAACTCAATATTGGTCAGATTGACAGTGGGGTTTGAGGAAACTGGAGGAAGCGGGTAGTAGTTTGGTCAAATTGGCCAGGAACCACCTGGAAGCACGTATATTTTTTAATATAGATATTAATTTTAGTCATGATAGGAGTGAACGCCATACATGTGGAGAGATGTGAAATAAATTTGACTCTGTCAAAACATCCCTAACCAGCCTGTAAAAGATAGCTAAAAATGAGTATGACTTAATATTAGTCTTAACTCGAAACAGGAAGGTGCTTGCCGCATGGTATTTAAAGTCAATAATTTATGTTAACATGTTCACACTAACTTTTATTTAAGCTATTGTTCTGCTTTAAACTACACGGACAGTCAATAAATTATATTATTTTACTAATACCATTTCCTCTTTTAAGTTGCCCAACAAGACAAGTCAATCTGACCAATCAGGGTTAGGACAAACCCCGCCCACACACTAACTCTGCCTATCAGTAACCGTGTTTCCATCAAGGCTTTTTGATGCGCAAACTGTGGAATGAATTTAATGATGATCTCAAGCTATGTGCTTTTTTTGTGAGCTTTAAARGAGCTCTGAAATGTAAAAGGAGAACATCTTACGCTGTTATGTAGATTTATTTATGTTTTGTGTAGGGTTGGGCATAATCGTATCGTGTGCAATTAATCGTCAGAAAAACATTAATCGATTACTTTTTGACACTTGGTGATTAATATGGTTAATGTCACGAGGCAGAGTCCGCTCAGTGCTCCTCTCTGCTTCAGATATAATGAACGTAAAAAAAAAGTGTAAAAAAAAAAGTTCTGTAACTTATTTATCTATCAAAACAATTTATAGTATGATATACAGCCTGAAGTCTGTAATTTTGACACAATTTGGAACAGTTTTTTTACAAAGAGCAAATCTTTCCCACTAAATTGGTCATGTGACCAGGATATAAGGGTGTCCAGGGACTCCAGGGGATTGATTGTCAAATTAATCGTTATCAGCTAAATACCACAATTAATCTTGATTAATTTATTTGCCAATATTGCCCAACCCTAGTTTTGTGAAGATATCTTGGTAGGTTGTTAAGCATAAAATAAGGTAGGCAAGAATAAGCTTGGCTTCAGCCTATCCCTTTTTTGGTAAATTATGAGTTTATTGTTTCCGTTTTGTTGTTTTTTATGTTTAATGTGAAAGATTTACCAAAAATAAAGTTGATTGATTGATTTAGAAGTGTCGCATTAAAAATGCAAAAAAAAGTCGGATGGAAACAGCAAAATTTGAAGAAAAAAAATCCTCAATTCGCCAAAAAGTTTTTACGCTCGCTTGAGGTGGTTTTTGGATGATTCACAAAGTAGTTAATGCGCAAAATGGGAGATGGAAACACGTTTGCCAAATAAATTCTGACGTAGCGCATATTTACCTCACGTGACGTTCAGCTGTTTCCGCTTTCCTGCCTCGTCCCGGATGTTATCATAAACGTGCAAAAACATTGCGTTTATTTCCCTACGTCTCCTGGCAGCGTTAAACATAGCCTGTACTAGCTGAATAGATAGAATTATTACAACTTGCCCAATAGCAAGGCATTCACGAAAAAATCGCTCCATTGTCCCGAGATGATTAGCCTCTGCTAGTTAGCAAGTTTCACTTCCTGTTTACTACCGCAAAGCTTGTCGCCGACGTCTGACGTAATCACGCGTTGTGTAGCCTCGTTTATTCACATCAAACAGTCGAGAGGGAAACTAGATAGAAACAGTCTAGATTCAAAATTTTATTTATTTAATTTTTTTGCGAATTTTGAAAATTTCGATAAAAATTCACTCTAGAACTGGATGGAAACGCGATTAGTGTTAGGGCAAACTCCGCCCACAGAAATACATGTACTGCAGAGACCTCTACTTGCATGTCTCACTGGTAGGAGGTCCCCTGGGAAGACCCAGGACTTGCTGTGGGGGGTGTATCCTGTCTGGTTTGGAGAGGCCTCAGGACCCCCCAGGATGAGCTGGAAAGTGTCACTGGGAAGAGGAAGATCCGGTTTTCTGTCCTGGACTTGTTACCTCCATGACCCGATTATGAATAAGTAGCTTTAATGAGCTGCTGTAAACAAACACCAGTCTCTTTGTTGGAACAACCATGACAGTAAAATGTTGTAGCTGATGTGAAACTTTGTAAAATAGTTGTTTAAATAGTTAAATAGTGAAATCAGAACTGTGCACATGGGGTCAGTGACTTCAGTCCACACTGCAGTCACACCACATGCACTAAAGTTGTATTCAGGAATTTCAGTTGATCCACATGATCAGAGCAAAGGTAACTGAGCTAAGGTGTAACTGTGTCAGTGCTAAACACTGTTTCAGACTGTGGTATACCGGCACTTTTGCAGCTTTTCTCCTAAATCTTAAGCATTTTTATTTTTGAAAAGAAAACCCAGACTACACAGGAAATGGCACCAGGAGAAGAGTAATACAGAAAGTCTACTCTTACACAAACATTTCAAGTTTTAGCAGTTCACTTCTCAAAAGAACTTATACCTTTTAAAAATCTGCTCGAATTAACTTTAGGTTTGAGTGTGAAAATAAAATTCATCATTTTTTTATGCATTACTCGTCACATCCATAATTAGGGTTCCTACAGACCCTTAAAAAGTCTTTAAAAGGCATTGAATTCATCGATCCAAAAATAAGGCCTTAATTAGCCTTAAAATGTCTTAAATCAGTCTTTCAGAAGTCTTAAAAATGTTARCACATTGTAAATAGGATGATTGTAATCTGTCTCAAATATTAAAATAATTGGTAACATTTTTAAACATTCACATGCAGACATTCCTCTTTGACATCACTTCCTGTTGCTTCACATGCAAATATCTCAACAACCGTCTGTCTGAGCGTCGTGAAATTTGTTTCATAATATTTTAATAATGTTGTTTTTCCAAAAATATATTCACATTTCTTACAAAAAAGTTGATGTCACAGGCACTTTAAGGTTTCATCCACAGCAAATTAGGGTTGAGACCCAACTGTAGGTCATAAAACTCCAAATTTTGGATCGTTAGAGAATTTCCAGGAATTAAATTATGTTTAAAACTGACTGCTAAGAACATTTCTGCTATATTTGACAAAAAAGCAGTTCGATATGGTTAAAAACAATTGATTTGTTAGGAATATTTGAATACTTCAACCAAAAATACTTTGATTCATGAGTTTCTGCCAGTTTTATTTATTTTTTTGTCATTTGTGTTTATTATGAAATTGGTCTTGAACTTGATTTCATTTGGCATTAAAAAGTCTTAAAGTCTTAAATTTAGTTTACCTTAAATTGTAGGAAACCTGATTATGCCGTCTCAGATTAACCTGTATGACTCAAAGCTACATTTGCTGCGTTTCCATTGACCATGAAAATGTGCAAATTAGAATTTTGAAAATAAATTTGCTCAATGGAAACACGTCAATTTCGACAAAGAATGTTTTTCGACAAAATGTTTTTACTCTAGGATGAGGTGGTATTTTGGCCACATCGAAATTGGTGTTTGTCGCAAAACTGCAATGGAAACAC